GGGCATCCATGCAGCACCCCTGCACTGATCAGCCTCTTTCTCCAGCACTGAGCTCCCATTGTATCTGCTTTCTGCTCTCCATAACGGTATGCGTTGGGTGGATTCATCAGTAACCCTTTGGCCTTAATGACCCCATTGGAATAACCATGGAAGGACACCACAATCAGTCACATACCTTCAGGGCCGTGAGCTGATAACTGAGGTATCTGGCTATAAACATGAGCATGGGCTTGAAGCAAATGATGCAGGGGCTGCAGCTGTGCCATGGTGATGGGGGAGCATCCCTTTTCTCTGCTAACCATCAGGATTTGGGGCACACAGAGGGCTGGGTGGCTCTGTACACAATAAGGACTTTGGTTCCCAAAATGGTTTTCCAAATGGCACGGTTCTTATCGGGGATGAATAACTGGGTGTCAGATGACACGTAAAAGCAGCCAGTTCATTAGAAATGCTAATGCTGTCTCCAGCTTCTCCCCTTTCCATCACTCCACATCCCCTAGAATATGATGCTCAATAGGTTGGGAAGCCAAACCCAACATTCCCCAGCTCCTGGCCCTGCACTGAGCCCCTCCTGGTGCACAGGCTGGGTTGAAGCCCCAGAAGAGACTCCATCCCAGGGCTGGGAGAGGTCTGGAGGCACTGAGGATGCTGGGGGCTGCTCCCTGCAGCTGGGAGTGGGGCAAACCTCCAGGCTGCTTCATGTATCAAACAGTAATTATGTGCAAAGGGCGTGGGGGTGCAAAGGAGCATTAATAAATTATCTCCCTTGTTGTTAATTGACATGGCTTTGGTCGCTGAGCTGAGGGCTTGGCTCCCCTTCCAGGCGCATCCTGGCCTCATTACCACCTCCATTACCATATTCAGGTTTCCCTGCTTAAAGCCAATTAGCTCATGGCCGGGCCTGATTGGGAAGCTGCGGCCTCATTTGCACATTTTTGAATCAGTGAAAGAATCAAAAAATAATGGAGCAGGCAGGGAGGGAAAGCGCCGCAGGGCTCAGTGTGCACTGAGGGCGACGAGGGGCGAAGGGGATGGCGTGGGGATGGCACGGTAATAAGCAGCCAAAGAGACCACGGCCTTAATTTGCTCCCGGGCGGTTTGCTGGGGTTCAACAGATGCTCCAGGGGGAGGTGATGGAGGGGCCTGGGGTTGTGGTTTTCTGCTTGTGTCCCCCACCCCACTTTGGAGACAGAGTGGCTGTCTCCATCCATGCCGTTAGCCGTGGTGCGCTCAGGGATGCACTGTTGGGTCCGTATCCAGTGTCCCATCCCCTCGCTGCCTTCTGGCCCCATTCCCTAGCAGAGGTGCTGCTATCTTCGCTATCTGAAAGTTTTCCTCTCCGGTTCCAGTTTAACAACTTCATAGCTGCTGCTGCTACCACAAAGGCCTCCTTGTCCCCGCCGGGTGAGATAAGCCTTGGTGCGATTCATATGTAGATCCGGGTGGTACCGGAGAGGAGAAATCTGCGGAGATCTGCCCCAAGCCCTCTCCCGTCTCTGGTTCCAAACTGTTTTACATCTGCACAAAAAGGTCCCGGCCCCCATTGAGCCTTGGGGCTGTCGCTGTGCCATCAGGGAGATCCGGTGTCACCGTGCCGGACGCAGCTCCATGCCCACGCTGGGATGGAATGTGACACCATTCTGCGGGTCCTGCTGGGTTAGTCCCGAAATCACCGTTCCCCTTTATGGCTGACTGTCTTGAAAGCGTCGTTGGTGCAGCATCAAGCTGCCAGCCGTGTCAGCTCCAGCAGAAATCCCTGTGCCTTTCACTTGCTTCTGTCACTGCCTTATGTCAGCGGTCATTTTTTAATAATTCTTAATAATTTTTTAATAATTTTAGCAATAATGAAGGGGTTGTTTTTTCCCCTTTTCCAGGTGTGCTTTTACCTCTTTTCCTTTTCTAGTGCTGGTGACAACACAGAACCCAGTCCAACTGCTCCCATCACCAGCACTGTGCATTATGGGGTCCAGGACCGTTGTGAGTGTGCCTGGCACAGGCTGGGCCTTGGGAGGACGCTGCCAGCATCTCCCGTGGGAGCTCTGGGCTGGAGCCTCCCTTATCGCCGTGCAGGCACATCCGTTATGTTACACTCAGCCCATCCCTGGGATGGATTCTCCTCCGTCTCCAGCAAACCAATCGCAGAGCCCAGGAATCCTGAACCAATTAACCCCACTTTTTGAAGTCTGCTTTGATTACCTGCCCGCTCTGGCTGTTAATCTGTGTTTAAAGCAGCTTTCTGCGTTTTTATCAGGGTTGTAATTCATTGCGCCTCGCTACCTCAACAGAGGAGGTCATTAATCATTGCGAGGGCCCCTGGGAGCACAGCCTTAATCTGCCATTTCCCATTGCCTATAGGAGGGTGGGCCTGGAGGTGTCCGGCAGCACTCGGTTGACAGATCCAAGGGCACAGTTCTGAGAGGGGACCCTCAGTGACTGATCACCCGCGTGGTGCAGTGGGAGCTGCCTTGGGGGGAGATGCTCACAGCTCCACGTGTTGAACATCTCCATGTAGGAAATCCCATTGCCCACGCCGTGGATACGTGGCACCTGGGGAGATGGTCAGTGGGGGTGAGTTGGGATTGGGCTTGGTGACCTTAGCCATCTTTTCCATGGGGCACACAGAGTAATGATTCTGTGATTCTATGACGTGTACCTGTGGGCAGTGCTTGGCATACTCGATGTGTTCTCTTAGTAAAAATTAACTGTATATTCAATTAAAGTTTCCAGTGCTTTTTCTAAGGTGGAGCATAACAGGTCCATTGATTTCTGATTTAAGTCAGGTCTGTAGGTGGAGGGGGGTTATCAATAATTAACTGGAGTAATTTAGGGAGAAGTCTTAGGGAGCTAATGGAAATGCAGAGTAACACAGTTGTCTTGCAAGGAGTGGGAATCTGTGGGACAGAGCTGAGTGGAAGGTGTGTGCTGCTGCCTTAACATGGACTTTAAATTTTACTTTAATTACGTTTTTTGTTAAGCATAGGAGAGAGTGGCTGGCTCTAATTATAGCTGGGACTGCTCCTGCATGCATGCAACCATGGATGGCAGGGTGTGTGTGGGCTCTGGCAGTGCTGGCTGTCAGTCACCCAGATAGGGGATAAAGCAGCTTTTGGAAGATACTTCCATGCAAGCTTGGCTTGGGGCATCCAGAATGGCATCGTTCCTCATGGTCACCATGTCAGGGCAAAGGGGACCCAGCTGCCCATCCTTTTTCAGTGTACTTGGTACCTCAGAGCTCTGGACAGGGCTGTATATTTTTTCCTAGAAATAACCCTAATCCTTGGGTTACAGGAGCGGCATGTGTTGGCACTGAAAATCTGGTGGTTTCAAATGATTTAGTGATTTTTTTTTTCTCAAAAACTTGCCTTCCTTTGACTTTTCTGTGGTCATCCAGGTGAAAGCTCTGCAGAACTTCAGCTTGGGTCAAAACAACACCAGTTTGTAGAGAACAGACCAAGAGAAGCAGAATTTCGGCTTCATGTTGGCTCTCCAGGAGCTTGGATGATGTCATCCCAAATGTTGCACAATGAACATCTTGTTGTACGTTGAGGACAGGGTCTGATTTAGGTCCCACATGCGCCATGAGGCATCTGAGGGAAGTGCTGGGAGCAGTGCTGCGTTCCCAGAGGGGAGGACTGGCCCGTGTGGGCTCAGGGGCGCACAAGGGATGGGATGGGCAGGAGCTGTGCTGGAGGTGTCTGTCCCCATCATCCCCCAGCTTGCTGAGAAGTGGCATTGTGGGGTTGGCTTTGGGATGTGTTTAGGGTTACAACTACAGGAGATGTGACAACCTGCTGCCAGGAGCCCCTCCATCCAGCTGTGCCAGCTGTGCCTGCCCCTGCTGATGGGGCTGGGGATAAGAAGTGGCTCTGTGAGTGCCGTCACTGTCCAAACAAAGCCAACAAAATACAGCCACAAGTGGCTTTGCCTCTCATTTGGGGGAGGGAGTAATGTGGGGCCCAGCGTTGCTCGCAAATGCTTTTAATAAAGTGTTCTTTCCTGCGTCCAGAGGAAAAAAACCCCAAACCTCAAGCCTTTTCCCATTACATGAGGAACAGATGCTGCTGGGCAGAGCCCTGGTGTGCTGACAGCATGGTCAGGACTGAGCCATTGGCATCCGCAGGGCAGTGCTGGCCCCAGTGTGCCCACAGGACATCATCCATTACTCCTGGCCATGGTTGGTATTCAGGACTGGGTAGCTCAGTGTCAGGAGGTGTATGTGGGTGTATGTGGGCATTCCGGAGGCATGCCAGCACCCACACAGTGCACACCATGTTGTTTCCATCTATAAAATAGTGCACACCTGCAGGGTTTGTACTCTTCTAGGAATGATGCTGGGTGGGAGCAATGACTGTGATCATGTATCTGTGTGTGTAGGTGGACACACAGTTCTTGTTTCAGAAGAACCTACTGGAGTGATTCAGTCATTGCCCACAGTACTAAGTCAGTCTCTGGAAGCATCCCATCCCACCCCATCCCTTCCCATCCCATCCTCCTTCTTCATCAAGATGGCCAGAAGGGACACGCTCAGCCCCAAGTGGAAGGAGACGTGGAGGAGTTGAGAAGGCACCCATACTGCTGTAGGGGCACCATGCCCCAGTCCCTTCCCAATCCAGCCCCAGCTCTCTCAGCCCAAAGGGTGACATGCCTGGGTAATTTCTCCAGTAATTAATGCCTCATTAAAGTGCACAGAGGAACAATCTCCCCAGTGAGTTTTACACAACATAATGCCTGGGTCCTGAGAGGTTTCCTGCCCTTTTTTTTTTTTTTTAAGGGAACTGTCTTTTTCTGGCCTTAACTGCTTGCTCTCTGGAGGCAGAGGAGGTTGAACCTGATGGGCACCTGCATTGTGGTTGGGTCAGGTTTGAGGGGAAAGTTAACTGTCCCTATGACCAGGGCTGGGAACTGGGGCTGCTCCAGGCTCTGAGAAGATGAGGTGGGAACTGATGGAGTGCAGTAGGGTAACATCCACCAGCCCTGACCGTGTTGTGTTCTCTCCCCAGGAGCTTGATGCCACGGACACTAGAGGGGCAGATCACAATGGAGAAGACCCCCAGCTACTTTGTCACCAAGGAGGCTCCGCGGCGCATCTACAACATGTCACGGGACACCAAGCTGATCGTGGTGGTGCGCAACCCCGTCACCCGCGCCATCTCGGACTACACGCAGACGCTTTCCAAAAACCCCACCATCCCCAGCTTCCAAGACTTGGCCTTCAAAAACATCAGCACGGGACTGATCGACACGAGCTGGAGCGCAGTCAGGATCGGGATCTATGCCAAGCACCTGGACAACTGGCTGCAGTACTTCCCCCTCTCCAAATTCCTCTTTGTCAGCGGAGAGAGGCTGGTCAGTGACCCGGCTGGGGAGATGGGCCGCGTCCAGGACTTCCTGGGTCTCAAGAGGGTGGTGACGGACAAACATTTCTATTTCAACCAGACAAAGGGCTTTCCCTGCCTGAAGAAGCCGGAGGGCAGCAGCAAGCCCCGCTGCCTTGGCAAGTCCAAGGGGCGGCCGCACCCCAAGATCGAGGGGCAGGTGGTGCAGCGCCTGCAGGAGTTCTACAGACCCTTCAACATGAAGTTTTACCAGATGACGGGACAGGACTTTGGCTGGGACTGAACGGGGCCACCGGCAGCCTCCTCCCTCTGTTCTAATTTATATCGGACCTTTTCCGGCGAGAAATGGACCCTTCCGGAGTAGAGAGAAATATTTAAGAAATAAAACCACAGATGACCCCTCCTTCCCCTTCCTCCCCTGACCAGATTAAATATTCTTCCATATAAATCTTGCTGATCTGTATTAACCGTGGCCGTGCTGGTGACAAGTGCACGGGTGTGATTGCGTGCTACCCTACATGAGCGCTGGGAGCCAGCCTGGCCCTGTGATGCCCACGCTGGGTCTGTATTTGGGGCAGGCCTTGGCTGCAGTTGGCCAGGCAGCAAAACCCAGAGCACGGAGTGTTTTGTGCAGGCTGGGAATTGTCTGAAGGAATTTCCTCATTGAGAAAAACGATTGATGGTGGTGGTTTGGAATAAGTGCCGGATCTGGGGATAAGGAGAGGGAGCTGCGTATCACATACCTTCCTTTGAGTAACCCAGATGATGAAGTAGGGCATTTCTCACCCTTAGGATAGAAATCCCTGCTTCCCCAAATTCACCCATGCAGAGCAAACAAAAGCTCCAATCTCTGACCTTTGGGTTCAGTCATCTCAATAGATCCTCACATCTGCAGTCATAGAGAGCCATCACGGGAGGCTGCAGAAATTAGTTTAATCTGAATTAACTACTCTTCCTTTAATTAAAGATGGGGAAACATTTAATTAACCTTTAATATCTTACTAGTAACTTGCATTTGTCTTTTTAATGAGCTAATTATGTGTTTTCAAGGGCCCTGGGGCATCACATTGCTTGCAAATATGCTTTGGCTGTGTTTTCTTCCACTACAGTGCATCCCAGCGCTGACCATTCTGCCACGCGTGCTGTAGAACTCCTCAGCACCACTGCTGTGGATGGGTGGGTACCACTTGTCCTGGAGGTGATGCATATGATGGGTACCACTTGTCCTGAGGGAGATGGATTGGGTGGGTACTATTTGTCCTGTAATGCACAGAAGGCAGAGGAACCTTTCTTCACTCTTTGACACTGGCACTTTTTCCTTTGCTCCACTCAGCTCTCCCCTCTCGCTTGTCCTGGCTCTGGGACATCCTCTGTGTCCCCTCCAGGAGATACATTTTCTGTACCAATGAGTGGAGCTGGGGCTGGCAGTTGGCAGGTTGGCACTTGGGCTCATCGAGTGGATGCTGGGACAAGTGACGTGAGCAGGACAAACATGATGTGGGAGCTCAACGCAGCATTTACCCATTCCTATAGGCACCGTTGGCTGTCCTGGCTGTCTGTCCATCCTTGTGAGCATCCATGAGCTGAAGATGCCCGGGTGCCACACGTGAGCTTTATGGGTTTAAAGCCATAGGAGGAATCAGGGCTGTTTTAGAGGACTGGAAACAGGAGATGAAATGGTGCTGGTGCTGCTGTGATGGCACTCAGAGCTGCGCAATGGACCATGCTTCGCCGCTCGCGGTTTTGTTTCCAGCCACGACATTCGACCAAATTATTCTCCGCCAAGAGCTTTAAAGTTTCCCAAGTGCCTGTGAAAGCCTGGAAACGCTGATAGTGATCCTATTTCCCAGCTGAGTGACTGCATTCAGCCCGAGCCGTATTCATATGCAAAACTCTCAGGGTCCCGGCTCCAAGGATGGGGTCTGTCTGCCCTGTGAAAGGGAACCATACTTTTTTGGAGCCCGGGCCTTTCTAAAGCCGCACAATACCATATAGACTATGCCATTTAAAGCATCTGAAGCGACCCAAAATGTATTGAAAGCTTGCTTTGCAGACTCATTAAGACTACTCAATAGGTTCTGGCAAATACCGTGCCAGGGCTGACCGCACGGATTAAGACTTTTGAAGTGTTACACAAACCCCCTGCTTAAACTAATTGCTGCCCCACGGCTCACGAGGTCAAGTATTTGTATTCATTGCCTCAGAGAGGAGCCACTTGTGGGTCTGCCCAGGTGAAGCCGCACTTCATTACATCGGGACCATAAAAGCGGCCTTGGATGGGCAGGGGGAAGGTGCCTGGGATGTAGTAGCCCCAGTGAGCGCTTGGGATTCAACGTGGCCATCATGATGTGTTTTAAGGCAGTGTAATCTCAGGAGATGTGTGACATCCATGGCACGAGGTGTTGGTGGACACACTGAGGCTGTAGGTCCAGCACAAGGACAAGTTTGAACACCTGGTGCATCGTTGCATGGCGGCCCCTCCACGTGTGCACGGCCTCAGCTCTAAGCTGGGGATCTGCAGGGTGCTGTTTGCTATCAGAGCAGTTAGTGGTCACTGATGGAAACCAAGGTGGGGAGTCTGCACTGAGCTGGGTGAGGTGTAGGGAAGTCAGCAGCTGGTTTCCTCCCATTGCTGTGTTTTCTGCACCAGCACTAGCCCATGGACTCATTCTCAAGGCTGTGGGGAGCTGCTGATGGGGCTGTAGGGAAGTAGATCCATGTAGGTGTTTTTATGACTTCCTTCTTTGCATCTATCTCAGAATGCTAAAAATCCAGAAGCCTGGAGGGTGATGTTTTCCTCCAAGTGGCAGTGCTGGGACAAAGGCACTCCTCAGCTCTGCGTCTGCATCTGCTGGTAGGAGGATGCAAAACTCCCAGTGCCTTTGAGCCCCAGGTCCCAGTGGATGTTAGTCGTTGCCAGAGCAAGAGGGGGATGGAAATCCACACAAGAAAATCTCTGTTGCCAAGTGTGGAAAGTTTTGTTCTCAGTCTCAACCAAAGTTTCCATTTCTAACTCAATTTCTGTTTTTGAAGTTAACTATCCAAAGTGCTGTTCCTGTGCCCCGGTGTTCCCACTCTGTTTCAGCTGCTACGTGAGCCAGGAAGAGCAGCACTACAGAACCTTCTAAAATTGTTATTCATTTATTTTTTGTCTTTTATACCAAACCTAGAAGGATGGACAAGAAAAAAAATCCACAAGGAAGTAATTAAAACATTCCGATTTTTTGTGAAGATCTGGAGAGCAGCTATTTGCAGTTACCCTTCTCATTTTGATGTGCCTTGGGAGCATCTTTTGACAGGGATGTGCCCCGTTCTCTGCCTGCTCTACCAGCCCCACACCCCGTTCCCAGGTGGGGCTCATGCTGCAGGGCTGTGGTGCACCTAGAGGTGATAAATGCAGGAGATTTGTGGGTCTGGCTCCTTGCTGCAGGACCTGGTCCAGCTGTGTAGGTGGTGTCCTGGATCTGGCAGGTAAGGAGGAAGCTGAAGCCAGGGACACTGTTTGTCTTTTGGTTGTCCTTTGCGCTGTTTGTAAGGTAGAGTCCCAGAAATATTTGGGAATAGGGCAGTGTGGTTGCTCAGAGGTGTTCAGGGACCATCTCACAATGCTTAGGGCAAATCTTTGAGATTTCCCTCATACTGGTGCTTGAGGTCTCCAGATCTTTCCTGCAGTGTGGTGCTACTGCTTCTTTAGTGTTTGAGTGCTCAGCCCTGGGGCTGCTGGTGCATCTCTGGTTTGTGATGGGAGAGTGAATGGGGTTTGGAATCCACCAGAGCTCAAAGGCAAGTGAAGGTGAAGCAGGGAGGGCTGGGGCAACTCAGCTGAATGCATGGTTTGGGGGCTATGCTGTGCTGGCAGTGCTCAGGTGGTGCCTATGCCTTGTGGAGGTGAGTTTGTGCTCCTATGGTGGGAGTGGGCAGCAAGTTCTGCTTCCTCCAGCACTCAGGGATGCACTGGGCTGCAATGCAGTACTGCAGTGTCCAGCAGCCCCCGGGGGAGACATGCATCCCTTTGCAGTGCTCAGCCCAACAGCACCCCAAGTTGCCATCCCCCACCCAGCCTCTTCTCTGCTTCCAATCTTGATGTAATCTCAATACACAAAATAAATTCATGCCATATTCCCCAATAGATGAGAAAATGCCCACGCTGAGGTTGCTCTAATTGCAACCACGTGCCTGGTGGTGGCTTCCAAGTAGTGCAGAGAGCAGCCTGGGTTGCATGTGGGGCATAAACACTGTCAGGTGCAGGGCATCGTGGCTGTGTGCAGGACGTGGAGAGCACAGCACTCACTTCCAGCCCAAGGGGAGCTGAGCTGCTGCGGTTCAACCTGTGCCCTGATTGTGGGTTTGGTTATTCACTGCTTTAATTGGAATTAGGGTGAGACAAATGCATCCTTTGTATCTGGCCCCTCTGGAAGCCTGTGAACAGGCACTGAGTTGCTTTTAGGAAAGTTGTTACTTACTGAAATAATTAACCAAATGATTTATCTGGGAGCAACCTGCTGGGAGCTGTTCCTGTTCAAACTGGGATGGGACGTGTTGCTGGCGTGTCCCCACCATGAGTGTCTGGGCCCTGCTGCCAGGCAAGGCTGCTGTAGAGCTGGCATCAGTACTGTGCCAGTGGTGGGACTGCTCGACTGAGTTTATTTGCATTCTTGGTGCAAAAGAAGTAATCTTTGGGCCATTTTAAAAATGCAAGTTGCTTTTCTGCTAAGATCTAAAGACTTGCCTGTGCATCCCAATAGCCATTCCTCCCAAGGGGGATTGGTGACAGTCCCCAAGGGCAGTGAGGCAGTGGCACAGAGTGCCCAGAGAGATGGCAGTGCCCCATCCCTGTAGAGACCCACAGCCAAGCTGGACAGGGCTCTGAGCACTGATGGAGCTGTGGGTGTCCCTGCTCAGTGCATGGAGTGGGACCAGATGGCCCTTAGAGGTCCTTTTCAACTCAATCTATTCTATGATTCAGGGCAGTTGGACATGCTCTGGTCACCCTATTCATCCAGCAGCCTGCTCAGGGCTCTGTCCCACTGGGCTGGTGACAAATACGGTCTGGAAGATGACAGTCCCCCAGCCTGTGGTGTCCCTTTCCCTGCAGGGTCCATGTCATGCCTGCATGGTGCTTCTGCATAGGCTGCACGGTCCTCCCTTTCCCCCCACCCAGCAGCACAACAGCATTGCTGTTTGGTGAATGGAATCAGCTCTCACATCACCAATCAAAATACTTCAATAGAAATAATAAGTTGGGGGTGGAGGGGAGGGTGGCTTCTGGCAGGCTGTCCCCTG